AAAAAAACGAAATTCCTGCCTGCACTGTGCCGCTCCCTGCCAAGTACCACCTGCTGTTTATTTAATTTTGTCTATCCACCTTCTAAATTCTTCTAGTCTTTCTCTTTTTCGTAAATCCACTTTTCTGTTCCTCTTGCCATGTGCCCCGCCTCTATCACCAAAGTTTATTTATTTTTAATGTAACATCCGCTACGTCCGATTAGTTTTTTTTTATCTATTATTTTCTTCCCTATCACACATGGTTCGAACGATCGTTGACGCACACAGCTTTGTATGCTGCGCTAAAGCGCAAATTTGAGACCCAAATGTTAGTACATATAGTATACAAGTATTGTAAAGCTTTCTTTTAATTACCATGCTCGTTTTCTTATTTTTCATGACTTCTTTAAGACCCCAAAAGCTCTCCCAAGCTTTTGCTATTCTTATGTCGATTTCTTATATTCTTGCATCGATCATGGATATTGTCTGACCGAGGTACGAGTATCCACCTACAAATTCTATAATACTGTTATTTAATAGTATTATTTCCTTTCTGGAACTGGTCTTTACTTTGATTGTCTCGGCATTCGTTCTAAGGCCGACAATCCTGATTTCCGAGTCAAGGTCTGTGACCATCCTTTCTTTACTTTACACATTGTTAAATTCTGTTTCTCTTCTAGGGTAATAAAAATTCTAAAAAATAAAGTATGATTCCAATAACCTTGTAAAAATATTGACCCTTTTCTCATTGCCAGGAAGGTCGTGTAATTTAAGCTGCCTTTGACGCAGAGCGACCCGGATACCAATCAGCTAATCAAATTGTCAAGATGACAGATTTTGACCTTATCTCATTATTGTGTCAGTATTCTAAACCGTTACGGTGCGTACAGACTATATTATAACATAACATGTTATACAACATTGCTATATAACATATTTCAGATAATGTGGACACTGAATGTTATAAAACATGTTATAATAACATGTCATTGATATGTACCACAATGTTATATTGTTATGTTATTGATATGAACCCAGCATCTAGGTTTTTTTGTTTTTCTTTTATTATTTAAAATTATAACAGTCGCTGCCGCAGCCAGCAAAACGTCCTCTTGTGTCGACATTGTGGATAGCACTGGAGAATAGGGATGTGAATGGGGGAATCGATTATTGATCGATTATTTTTATAATTGAAAATAAATCATAGTCGATTTTTCCACTGCCACCTCCCGACATTATGTTTGGTCTTTTATAACCCGGACCTCGAACTATTACGGATATTTGATATACATCGATGTTTAGAACGCGATACATTGAATACGATTCTTTGAAGATGTATTGATATACTCGATGCATTGATGTTTTTTGTAAAACATCGAAAGGATGATAAAACCAGTTAATTTTAGGTACAAAGACTCAAGTTTGAATGGAACACTATAATTTAAAAGTAAAATAAATTTATTCAGCAACACAAGATAACATACAATTAAAAAGACAACAAAAATACTGCAATTTGCTACTGAAAAGGCATACCGAACTAAGCATTTATCAAATTTCACCTAAAATCTATCAAAACGAGATTAAGTTAATTTCGATTTTGATTATTCTTAAACGTTAATTTGTGTTTATAATTTCTATTGTTTATTTTTCAGTAAAAAAAAACCATGAAAAATTAGATATTTAGGGTGATTATTTTGAAATTAATTCAAAAATTAGGAAAAAATCGATTAATAAAAAAATCGATTATTTTTTAAAGAAAAATCGATTATTTATTATTTATATACAGCCTTATATCAGAAATACTAAATATATAAATTATAACTGTTATTTTTCTTAATCTACGATAACTGATTCTGTGTACCTACGGGCAAAGGCATCCCCCATTGTCCTCCATTTTTCCTTATTGTATACCAATCTCGTCTAGGTCTTAGTCTTTCCTGCCATTTCCATGATATCATCGGCCCACCTTTTAAATTGCCTACCTCTGTTTCTTTTATGGCCTCTTGGTTGCCATATTTATTAATCGATTAATAAAAAATCTATTTTTTATGCAGAATGTCACATCCCTACTGGAGAACGACAAACGAAAATGGTTATATAACATTGTTATATTGCATTGTTATTCTAATGTGTACAGTATTGTTTTATGTTATAATGTTGAATTACAAGGTTACATACTGTGGACGTGTTATAAAACACAAGTTATATAACATGTTACATAGTCTGTATGCACCCTTAGAAATAATTTAAGTATTACGTTCCTTTTTAATTTTAATTTTACTAAGTATATAAATTATGCGTACGTAAAAATCTATAAAAATGTCCCATTTCACTTTTGTGGCATACAGAAGGCCGACCAATTCAACTTTGCCGGAATGAACCCTATACCTACAACTTATACTCTAAGATAACCACATAAAATAATTAAGTAGTCGCATGTTGAATTTCTAATAGTAGATTATTACTTCCCAGCTCAATGAAATCGCAAAAAGTTTATATATGAAACTCACAGATGGTTCAGACATGTTTTAATAACAAAATCCAGAAAACAACATTAAACAACACTTAATATAGGTTTTATTAAACGTTACTAAACCAATATTAGCAGTCGACGGTTCTAACGTTAATCAAGTCTGTGTACTCAGACTGAATTGCTTTTAACTTTTCAATAAAACTGAACAGATATTTTCTTTCGTTCTATTTCTCTTCACGGTCAATCAAAGTAAGCGCTCGTTGCCATGGAAGGTTGTAAAATTTGTAAAGCAGAATAATTTTAAATAACGACTAACACGCATTTAGATTTCAGCATGTTTCATTTTCAGTATGATATCTAAGTTTTTTTTGTGAATTTGAATTATGTTGGAGGATCGCCTGCATAGCTAACTTTGACGGCAATCGCACTCCAGAGTTACAATTTCAACAAAATTCATTGTATATAAATAGAATACAAAACATTGTTCCACGTAGGGGAAACCACAAACATTTTTACAACTTGATGGATCTTTCGCAGCTGTACCAGATAGATGCACGGACCTAATGGCGCGTTATTTCCATCAAATTTTGTGACAAAGAGCAGATTGAATTTAGAATTTTTGCATAACATTAAAACCATTTAAGCTATTCTATTTGTGAACAAACAAAACATTAATGAAAGCTATCAGCAAAAGCTTGTGAATATATAAAGTAAGTCCTCTCGTTATTTATTTATATTTCAAACTATTGAGACAGTCGGTCAGACATGTGGACATAAATAATGTAGGTCTGTGTCTAGTCTTAAGATTTCTCATGAGACTACGTGTGTCGTATTATTGATCTGTCACGATATCTCCCTGTCTTTAGTGTTACAAGATGCTTTAGTCTTGAAAAACGTAAATATGAACCTTATCTCCGTATATTCTCGTACAAACGCTTTGGCGATTTTTTGTCTTTCCATATCGACAACAACGTTTACATGTAAAACTTAAACAAGATTATTTTATAATTTGCTTAGGCAATTAGAGTTTTTAGTCATTATTTTTAATTAGAAAATAGTGACTCCGATTACCAGCTGTGACTTGTGGCAATCATTGAATGCAGATGCTACCCTGTTGACCACATGACCCAGGCATGAATTATCGATTAAAGATAGTGAAACAAAAACAACACAAAACTAAAAGACAAGGTTTGCTTTGCTCAATGTTAATTACTTAAAATCCTTTATATGAGGTTCTAAAATTCTCGTTATTTCAATTAATCCCGGCATTTAGCGATGGTATTTCATTCAGCGCTCGCAAGTTTGTTATTACTCGGCGTCTAGTTAAGATGAGCATTGCATGCCAACAATAATTAATTAAAACCCCCTGTCCTCTGGTATGAAACATTTGGCTTAGTAAATTTTCCACTATAAAAACTGATTTTGTTTATAATTTACAAATGAATCGTAAATGCACAAAAATAAAAGATTAGAACTATTTTACTATATGAGTCGAGACCAACAATCTTATTATAAAATTACTACTGTGTAATAAAACGTGTTTGGTACTATTTTAATTTTTTTATTGACTACGGAAACGGGCAAGAGGCTCACCTCACCTGGTGATACCAGCGCCCATGGTCCCTCGCTCTGCCAGATGGTTCGCAAGTGCGGAGCCGACCTTCGGAGTGCGGAGTCGTATTGGTTTGGGAATAGTTTAGTAGGCAGCTAGTTTCACATAGCGGTGGTTCGCGTGTTAAAAGTATAATAAACGGGTGGATTTTCATATTTTGCCTCGACGTCCGATGATGAAACTTAGCACAAGTATTAATACAAACAACTCATCTGGACACTCTCCATGATTATTAAATCCGGTAGAAGATGCAAAGAGACATCACATGTCTCCTGTTGTTCATTATAAGGCTGCCGTGTCTCACTTACATGTGTAATTTCATGTCACGAACAAACGAACATTTAGGGCCTCAAAGCGGCGTTCTCGCAACTATATAGGTCTATATATAAGTCAGTCACTATAAACTTAATGATATAACTAAAATATTATTCGTAAACGCAACTTTCCTACGGAAAAATTACGACAATATGCCTTAATGTTTTTTATAATACGAATGGAAATCTATGTATAAACCAATGTCCACAAAACCCTCAACATTTATTTAGCATTGGATTGTGGAATTTAGGGCAACAATACAAAATTAACTACGGTCAGATCTACCTGAATCCGCAGTTGAAGGGTTGATGTATCTGTAATCCCCACATCAGAGGGACCGTCACGCACCCATTTTCAACCCTCATATATATAGTACAGTTAGTTGTTCAACTGGTAGAATCGTCCATATATCAAGTTAAGCCACTAAAATCAAATAGGTTAACTTTTAGGTTACTTTAGTGATTTGGCTTTTGCTTTTTCGAGTGGAAATAGGGAATTTAGTTACTCCGCTGGCGTAGGAACCCACTTCTTAGTCTTTCAAGCTTTATATGGGGCCAAGCGACATGCACGGCCAATTGGTATTCCTAGATTTGCACTCCGATCCTGTTCCATTTTCTCAGGATGGACAGTCCTCCGGTGGTTTTTGGTTTTGGCTTCCTTTGCGTTGTCAGAAAGTAAGAAAAGTATAAACAATCAAGTGATTTTCTTTACTAGAATTAGAAGAATTACTCCACTATCTTTGGTAATTTTTAGTTACGCTTTAACCTGTTATTCCTATTGTAAATTTCAATTGCGAATTCACCTTGCGCCCTAAATTCATGGATTTTGGATAAAAAAACTATTTATCTATATTCTACATAAAATAAGTCATAAGCTTCAAGTGCGAATATTGACATCATCGCACATCCATAAAACTTTTTAATTTTAGACTTAGAACGACAACTGACAAATTGTAGTATTTATTCATTTTATTCGCAGCTGTAATCACGGGAACTACTTGTAATGTGAAGAAGCTTATGATAGCGGCTTAAATGTAAGATGTTATTTTTTTTTAAACGGTTTTAAAAATTATTTTAGTGAAATTTGGTTTTTTACAATAATTTCATAATTTTACCCTATTAGGAGAAATAACGTGATTTATTTAAATAGAGTTTCAAATAATTGGTTTACATGATAACTAGCATGTTTGAACACCAACGTATATACGATGCGAAATACCAAGGGATTACGCTGTTACTAAATTATTACTAAAATAGCGAGTGCAATGTTTAAATTCAGTCCAATCGATCGGTTAAGCGGAGATAGTAATCGGCTCAGGGTGGCTCAGGGCTGCGAGCTGTATGACTACCCTATTACTGGCTTCATTTATTCTCTTTGAAGCAAATAAACGTTAAACCACAATTTGTAGTATTTAAACAGAGACAACTACAAGATTATGGTGCTTTTGATATGCTATATAGTTTAGTTGGGTTAGTTGATATATACATTATACATCCTTCTATATGTGGATAAACAATTGATAAATTAGGGAGGCACAGACGACTTTTTAGGGTCCGGAATTTCACTCCTAAGATAAGTTTAGTACTCACTACGTTTACATATTCTTTATACAATTCAATAGTTTTAGCCAATTATTATCAAACTGGTATCAATTTCTTTTTCAGGTTTTCTTTAATAATTTATATGAAATTATTTAAGCACCTTAGTAGCACCGTTAACATCGCTTTTAATTAATAAACGCCTTAAATAGACAAATATAATCATGTAATACAGACTCACTAATATAGCCATTAACCGACTATTAAAATACCCACTTTATTTGCCATCTTTTGATAAATTTCCAAGTAACAAGAAAACTAACATAGGTTTAAGCAGAAGACGCTTTAATAGACATTTCATTTCATCCTTACAATCCCCATATAGCCTGGCTTTATTCTGGCTAATTTAATTACTCTGATGACCTCATCATGGCGACATTTGACCTTTGTTTTATTTACGGCCGGAAATTATCGAATTTAAGCAAAATTGCCACGCTTTGAGATTAAACTTAAATAGGAATTTATTTAATTTGATTATAATTAAGCATCTTAATGAACAAATCACTATAGAAATCTATATATTCATTATATCTATATCATATTTGTAAAAGTATTTTGTATGCAGTGGGGAATTAATCAAAAATATATAGTAAAAAATAATTAAGAAGCGGAGAAATCGCTGGTCCCAGCTGCCACTATCATTATAATTTAATATCATGAAAGTTAAATTAGTTCAAAACCGTTGTGGTTTATTTGATTTGCCAATATTAGTAGATCTACAAATTAACAGACGATTTGATGGTCTGTAGTAACAGTAACTTCAGTCAGTATTATTATTGTCGAAGCAATGGCGTTAGTGTTAGCTGGCATTGGCATTATAATTTAATAACATGAAAGTTAAATTAGTTCAAAACCGTTGTGGTTTATTTGATTTGCCAATATTAGTAGATCTTCAAATTAACAGACGATTTGATGGTCTGTAGTAACAGTAACTTAAGTCAGTATTATTATTGTCGAAGCTATGGCGTTAGTGTTAGCTGGCATTGGCATTATAATTTAATAACATGAAAGTTAAATTAGTTCAAAACCGTTGTGGTTTATTTGATTTGCCAATATTAGTAGATCTACAAATTAACAGACGATTTGATGGTCTGTAGTAACAGTAACTTCAGTCAGTATTATTATTGTCGAAGCAATGGCGTTAGTGTTAGCTGGCATTGGCATTATAATTTAATAACATGAAAGTTAAATTAGTTCAAAACCGTTGTGGTTTATTTGATTTGCCAATATTAGTAGATCTTCAAATTAACAGACGATTTGATGGTCTGTAGTAACAGTAACTTCAGTCAGTATTATTAATGTCGAAGCAATGGCGTTTATCACACATTCGGGTTGCTATATATTCAGGCACTGGTTGGTGCGGCTATCGAATACTCTACACTGCTGCTGCCGCCCTGAACCCGAAAGAGGCGTCAGTAGCATGGCAAGGATTGATAAAGCAGCTTCCAAGCATCCGCAGGAAATCTCGCCGTCAGCGGGCCGCGAATCTGCCCGATGCCCCTAACAACGTATGAACCAAGAAACGACTAAGACGAGTCGAGCCCGCGGCTCCTCGTCTCGACCACACCAAGGGCTATACTCCCGCCCCAGTGCCGTCCTGCATTAGCAGGTCGCGAACCAAAACACCTCTGCCTGAACTGGCTGATGAACAAACACGAGAAGACAATGAGAACTCAGTATTTCAATTAAGAACCGGAACCAAGCAGAAGTAAGTTAAAAGCAGCCTCTCATATCGAAATTAAACGGCGGATGCGAACAAAGAAATTTATTACGTCAGTATTGCTGACGTCATAATCATCTTTAATAATTTATCTGCAGGTCCTGTTTTTGTTAAAATTCAGGTAGTGCTTTCGAGACATTGTTCTGGTTATCGTTTGTTGTTTAGTCAACAATCGGTCTCCTCCGTTCTAACTGTTGTTAGACGACAATATTCCTATCGTTCATAGTCAGTTACCCGCTCTTTACGGAGGAAGGTAGAAATCCTTTCTCCACGCGTAATCCTACGCGTACTTTTCTGCACCATTATTTAGGTGCAATCCTAGTTCCTCATTCCTGTCTCTACTCACTCCGTTAAGATTTTATTCCAATTTTTACACAATCATGACTTTACGATTAGCTTTATTTTATATATATAATATTTGAATGATAATTCCATTAAATCAAGTAGATGAAAATGAAATTTGTTTTCCCCATTATAAAAAAAATTCTAACCTGCTTGAACCACTGAGAATGAGAATGGGTATATAAATGTATAGAATTTAATACTACTGATTCTAACTAATTGATTGATCCATTCGTAGGAAATGATGTGATTGTTATTAACGTTTCGTACTAAATTTTTTACCAGGAATAAAAAATAATCCATTCGATTTCTTTATATTTCTGCAGCAAAGATCTGCTACTGAGACCAACTGAAGGATTTAAAAAGGTACTGACAAAATATTCTGTAAGCTGTCAAATTGTGAATGATAAGATGTCATCATGACAGGAAGCGGAAACACTTGCCAATAAAGCCAGTCCGGCGCGGCCGCCACTCATTTCGATTATAGTCGACATTTAATTTCCTGTATCAAACTGAGGTTTAAAACCACTAATAAAATGATGCACGCGCGAAGCTATCGTATGATATATGTATCGTTTTATACCCGGTGAGAACATTGTAATTCTTTCGTGTTTTTTAAAACTTAGTTTTATGTTGTGTTCAAAAGAAAGGAGAAAATTTTGTGAAAGATTGCATTGACAAGCTGTTTAATACTTCATAATTTAATTTAATTCCAAAAATAATATGGATGTTTTTTATTCTCTTTAATTCTCCCTATTTCACAAAGTTACTAGCTTACTGACAATTAATGCAAATTTATCGATAGAACACTTAAACTAGTAATAAAAACACAAAGAGACTTTTTGCTTTTATTTTTAAATAATACTTCGAAACATTCCAATTCCTTTTAAAACCGTCTTGTTGGGATAAGAGGATTGAATTAATTGAAGCTTATCTATAGCTTCAGTTAGTTAATAGGCAGCTGCCCACTGCTTAATTACGAGGCCTGTGTTTGCTGTGGTCGGTGTGTAAAGGTTGGTACAATGGCAATATTTTTGGATGCACTAATGAGAAATGGATGTACACGGTTTTAAATAGAACTTGACTTATAAAGAAATATGTTTACTCAATCAAAACGAAGTAGTGACACACCTTTCGTTATCGAAATCAAGTAAAGTAGAAATCTAAAATATTTTATTTTGGATATTAATATGTTTAATTAATGCTATAAATAGAAGATATTTGGCACAGTCCAGTGTCGGGAAAAACTATTGTTTCAAATTTCAAACTAATTTTAAAATAGGTCGGAATTTTTCACATTTCCAACTTGAAATCTGTGCCGGCAGAGATATTATAATCTGTTTTGTTTAGGTTTGTAATTTGTTATAATTTTTTTAGTTGTTACTGGTTAAGACCGATTCTTTGATAAATTTATTGATTTGCATGTATCTTGATTAGCATGATAGTGCTTAAATTTAAATGCGAAATGAATATTCCTATCTAAAGTAAAGTGTTTCAAGGAAGCAGACAAATTAATGAAATTAAATCATGTTTTAATAGTTTAATATATATACCAATGGCGCTACAACACTGTAGCCGCTTTTTAAAGATATGCTGGTTTCTTCACGATGTTTTCCTTCACCGTACGAGCGAGTGTTAAAGGCACATAGACAGAAAGTTTATTGGCGCACAGCCCGGGATCGAACCTACGACCAGGGATAAAACCCGCACGCTGAAACTTGGCGAACGGCAACACTGCTCAAATAGTGTAATAGTATATTTTATTTTGTATTTATAAATGAGGGAGTTATATTATCTGTTGAAAAAGATTGAAGATGGAAGAGATACTTATAACTTAGGCCTATGCCCAACGGATTTATTTCTAATCAAATGTCTGCCAAGCTCCGTGCGCAGGTATGGTATGTGATAATAAGCTGGTAATTCGCGGGTATATAAAATATCCGGATCCGAGCCTATGTCAGGGTCCCTGCTAAGTCTAGATTGTGACCTATTTCGGTTTTCGGATAATCCCGATTTGCGCTCGTAGCCCACTATCGATTAGGCTTCGGCGGATAACTTTTTAGAGATACGAAAATATACAAAAAAATGTCATGTGATTTTTATCGGATATCGGATAAGTCTTTTTGCTGTCGCACTGGCTTACGTAACTTCTATCAGATATTATTACGAATATTTCAGGCAGGATATTTCCTTAATAAATAATCCTTGATTGGCATAGTAAAAGGCAACTTCATGCTTCAAATATAGTGTATATGTACATGTATATATACTCTATGAAGTTTGATATTTTTGGTAATATGTTTTATTTGCGATTATTACTGACTGGCTTATTTATATTTATAAACTCTCATCAACCTCTACCAAAGGTTAGGTTAGACACTTTTAAAGTTTTAAATTAATTATCAAACATTTTATAAGCATTTATTACAATTTCTTTGTTAGTATGTAAAATTAAATAAAACTAGCCAAGAGCTAGTTGGTGCAACATTCACGTTGTCGGTCGTCGTCTAACTATAACGTAACGTTTTCATACCAAGACCAAATATTAATTGTGCACAAAAAAGGTAAATCTACTGTATTGAGATATCGAACTCTCCGCAGCTTAACGTTACTACAAAAATATTTACATTGTTGCAATCCATACGTGCTGCATTCTTCAATTCTTACCAATTTTCATGACAACACACTCGTAAGACTTTAAACATTTATAAAAATACTTTACAACAATAAAATTACAGATCCTTTAGAGTGCGTACCTACTACAGGAAATATTACATCACTTACGAACTACAAGACGTAGATTTCACTTTTGACAGTTCACTTAGCTTAAAGGTTTTCCTCCATGACGAAATCCGTCGGATTTCTCTGTTATTAGCGTAGAGTTCTTATTTAATAACTAAAACAACTATATTCACTCAGCAGCTTAATAGTTGGTTAGGTTTAAAGACATTTAGTCTCATTTATTTATTTATTTATTTATTTATTGGAAACTAAACAGATACATCACTACAGAAAAATAAAATAAATGTAGAACATAAAATAAATACACATTGGACATATCCTCAAAAAAAAGTTTCACTAATAAAACAGTCATCATAACAGACAATAGTCACTTACATGAGAACTTATATACTAAAGATACAATTTATCACGTCGTGGGTCATTGAAGAGCTTCAAGGATGAATTAGCGAAGTAGAACTTGGGTGGACTTTCATTTACGTAGAAAACTGGGATCACTCAAGAGATGGTCTTTTAGTCTTAATTTAAATATTGCCAGGCTGTCTGCACTTTTTATATTTTGTGGAAGTCTATTAAACCGCAGCACTCCCCTAAAGCTCAATGTTTAATAATCCAGTATGGAATAATCAAAAATTTCAAATGTACTGGATTTTCACTACAAAGTAGTGCAGGTGCGGATTGCACCGGTAGTCCGGTAGTAGTAGTTGCTTGTCATTCTGTAGGAACAAAGAAATTAATAACTTTGCGTCGAGGGGCTCCGACAATGTCTGAGCATTAAAACTAATGAAAATATTTCTCATTTTGTTAAATGTTTTGACATAATGACTGATAGGACCTATAATTAAAATTCAACTTATATCTTAATACGAAATTGAAGCTTTATCGTTTCGAAATTAACCGATTATAATGACAGTAAATTTGCATTTTATAAGTAATATATCTATTTTCGTAGCAAAAACACTGAATAGAATATAAGATTATCGATTTCGATATAGTAAATTTACGATTATTACATTACGCTTATTTATTATAGTACATTGCTAATAAATAACCTCTTACATTGAATATTCTATATGGGCGAATATCGGTTATCAGCAGTCAATTATTGACAAATAACAATTAAGTTATTGCCTTATTTTATGATTCCCCGTAGCTAGATAATATTCTAAACGATTACACCCTAACTATAATAAAATCTATGTAATATATATAAATAACCTACAGTGTTTTGACAAAATAATCGATATATCCTTTCATTACAGATTATACGGATTTGGTGAGAGAGAAACGAATGAGTACTTTACTTTAAACTCTTTTATGATCCACATAAAACCCATTCAGCTCGCTTTACAACACATTACAAGCATTTTTCCCTAAACATTTTGTGTCATATTAATTTCGCAGAATTGATTACAGTGTAACAGGTTGATAATATAAATTGTTCGACCTGTTGAACCTGGCGATCGGCCAAACGGCCTTCGTGCTTTACATAATTCTCGGAATGCACGTAGAGCCACGCTCTAGACGTTATCGACACCTTTTGTACTAAACACTTGTCACTTCAAAACTGTTGATGACGGCTGGTATTATTTAACATTGCTGTTTTACTGCTTATTAGTGCTACACCGAGTTGAACAAAGGAATTTTTTTTACCTTCCACTCTGCTCTGAGTACTAATTTTTTAAGCCGACGCATTGTGATTA